AACGAGTTGAGCTACTTTGTCGAGTAAGGCTACCGTAGTGCTAATCAATAGCCCCAAAAAACCCGTAAAACTCTAACCTTAACCCCCCAAAAACCTCTAAAACCCTAACCGCCAAAACCCCCCTAAAACCCTAACCCTAACCCCCAAAACCCTAACCCTAACCCCTAAAAAAACCCTTAAAAGCTCAACTCATCAGAACACAGGCATGCATTATAAGGCAGGGATGCGTTTTTCGGCATAACACCGGAACGCAGAAAAAAGTGGCGGAACCCAAAAGACGAAAATACAGAAGTTCCGGAACTGCGTTCCGGCCCACTTCAAGCACTAATGTAAATGTTGTACGTATGATCAGATAATCCAGGAAGAAGCGTTGTCTCTGCACAGGCCATGTTTATACTGTTATTTCCAAAAATCTTTTCTATGAACTATGGGTTATATAGTGTTAATGTGGCCCGAATTTCTCTCCCGCGTGAAAACATCCAGCTAACATGGCTACTTAGCTTAGCTTAGCCTAGCCTAAAGAAAGTTTTACTTAAATTAAGGTTTGAAAAATAAGAAACGACAGAGTATCATCAAGAAATAATTAAAATAAAGCATCCAAACTTCCCCGACTCGTATTTTTCTTGCATTATACAGATGTGAAACTTACTCAGCCTTCACTCAAGCACAGAAGAACACGTCCGCCTTCCTTGGTGACCAGAGATAAAGAGACCGGCAGTCGCTTAGCGCTGCGTTACCATTATAAGACATGTACTACATATCCCGAGATGCCCCGGGAATAAAAGACTACGGAAGCGGACTTTTAATAGTAAAGAACCTATAAGGGGCGAAGTCGTTAAATAGAATTAATTAATGTAATTATCGTACAGTTTGTAGATAATCAATTGTGTACTTTTAAATTTAATTATCTAACATGAAATAGCTGAAACAATAAGCACAATCTGGCAATCCTGCAAAACCCCGGGAAATAAACCCGGATATCGATAAACGACCTGTAATTCGCAGTAGTTATTATATGAAAGCCATGTAGATGTTAGCCGTGTACAATTTAAATTTATTTTCACCAGTTAAAATTGAATATAAAAGCTACGGCACTTTTGCGTGTAGTGATTTCAAATTCATCTTCTTACAAATTTACGTTTCACCAAAATGAGTCGTTTATTTAGAACGTGAATGCGCAATATTTAGAGCCTATTCGAAGCTGGATAATAGTAACCAATAACATTCTTTTGTGCACTTTTAGTTACAGTATTATCTTTTTCAAGATACATCATTTTATCTGCAGTGGTTACTAATTATCAATAGTAGACTGATTGTGTGTTATTCCGGGTGATCTTTGTACATATGACAAGCACATTAAGTTCCTACTAAAACTAAACAGAATTCGACTTACTGATGAGTCTGTATGTAAATTGAATCTGCGACAAAAATAAATATGGCCAACAAATAATTGCCTGAATGTGTTTGCTAATGGTGGGTTACATAACTGTAAACATTTACTGGTACTTATGTCACTTGGATTAGTCACCTCCTGTTAATTATTTATGATTTCTATGATTTAGCTCATTTCAATAAATATACGTGTAATTCACCTCAAAGGCCAATAAGATTAAGATGACGACACCAACTTGCAAAGTCTTCTCAAATGCTGTACAGTACTTACTGTACTTATACTGTACCACATCCGCTGGAGTTCATCTCCTGGACTCCAGATTTTCTTTCCCGCCTTAGCTTCTGTTTGATTGGTCTCAACCCAAGTTTGCGGTCATTGTCCAGCTTCACATTGGTCGATTCGCAAGCCCCTCGAGCTCCGCGTTAAACCGCCTGCATCTTTCTGCCTCGGTGGGCGGGACCGTCTATTCGCAGGGAATAGGTTGTAATCCAATGCCATCAACCTGCCGCAATTATCGGTGTTTACTGTCCATTCATCCGTCGTCTTAATCAAAGACAGGCGATTGACAATGCACTGAACCAGGCACCGGATATTATTCATAAAAAGAAATTCCTTCCTGCACATTGCACGTACAGATATCCCACTGTGAACGGCGCAGTTTGTATCTCGGTGGCCGACAAAAGTCACTTTTCGGGGTTTTGGGATTGCAGGTTGGCCCTCGGCTGCGGCTGTAAAGCGGGGCACTCTCCGGCGTCGTTCTGCACTCGCGATCATGTTTATTTCATAAAGCATGGCGGTGAGGAGGACCCTGTAAACTAAATGACTGTCAGAAACATCGCCTCCATTTGTAATATGGTGAGTAATGTCTGAGATGAATGCTATCATCAATGCACGGGCGATCTTGCTCCCCGTCCGGGATGATCGCTGGACAGTTGCCGGTCGTGTCACCATGCAACATTTATCGCGCATTTCAGAAAACTCGATACGTCAGGCGCGTTGTTTTCATCTACCAAACCTAATTCTTTGCAAGCGTTGAGTAGGAAGATTCTTTTAAAATCCATTGCTGTCTATGAGCTGACGTCTCGTTTTAAAGACGCTGACCAAGTGCGTTCTTCTGTCTTCTTGCCCCCGTGCTTGTGTTACCCCGAAATGGCTTAAGCTATGTTTATTAATGGTAGTGGGTGCTGCTAGTGAAGAAAAAGCGAGTGATGGTAAACCCACGGCAAGTTGGCTAATGTTCCCAGGATGGGGCTCGGATCGGTGCTTTTGCAGTGAGTGCAGATGCGTTTCGTTATGGTGGTCATACTATCGTCACCTGGTCCTCTACCGCACTGGAGTGGAGATTTGAGTCTGAAACACCGCTTACATGCATCCGGTGGGTGTTTTTTTTTCCCTAAACAGAGAAGGGGAAAACTGAAGTAGATTTAAAGTTTCCTTGCTTTGGTATTTATCTGCCTTTTGGCTTGCTTTGGAGGGTTGAATTTTGCACAAGCTATACCTGCATGGAGTTTGCATCTCTTTCTCCTTGTTCATGTGGGGTTCCCCCCCTGCACTCTGGAGGGCCACCATGCCACACACTCCTTTAGACAGTGTGATGTCAGCAGTTACATAAATTACTTTTCCCGTAAGTGTTGGTGTCACGTCAGTATAGGTAGAGACACCCTAATTGATGGGGGGCGGGGGCGGGTATGGCGGCTTTACTCAGACCCAGAATGTGACACCGTTGTGACGGCAGTATTAAAACAGTAATGAGTGCTAGTGTACTCGGATCTATGTGTTGTGTTTGCTGGGAAGCTCGGTCCCCAGCACGGACTATTTGCGGTGCTTTGTCTTAATCGTCATAGGATATTGCCCATTTTCCGCATGATGTAGCTGAACCGGCGACGAGCGATTATTCCTTTTTATCGCCCTACAACTCCTGCTGCTCTCATTTCCATCAGAGGCACTATGATTCATATGCATCATTAAACTTAGTGTGTCAACTGTCTGTCAATTATATATAAATACAAATAATGCTATTTTGTATATGTAAGATCTACAGCTGCTTAAATCTGTCATTTCTGCATTTAAAATAAAATCTGAAAAGGTGCCCATATAATTGTGTTGATTCTATCCTCACTCTGCTCTGATGCTGTTTGTCCCACAGGGCACCAATGCCTCTGCACTGGAGAAAGACATTGGTCCAGAACAGTTCCCAATCAATGAACACTACTTTGGATTGGTCAACGTGAGTGTCGCTCAACATGTGTATCTCTTCAATCTGCCAGGATGTGAATCATAATAGGGATATGGTTAAGCCATCCATCCATCTGTCCATCTTCAAGTCACTTATGTAGATTGTTGATTTGTGGACAGTATATTACAGACATTACAAAGAGGCTTCACTATAAATAAACTAAAAAAGATAAATAAGCAGATTAGTCCTATCTATTTATTCCGAGCTACTGGGTACTTTACCTTGCTGAAGGGTATATATGTTCTGCCTCACTGACCCCACCACCACCACCCCCACCCCCAGTTCGGCAACACCTGCTATTGCAACTCGGTGCTGCAAGCATTGTATTTTTGCCGGCCATTCCGGGAGAACGTCCTCGCCTACAAGGCCGGCCAGCGCAAGAAGGAGAACCTGCTCACCTGCCTGGCCGACCTCTTCCACAGCATCGCCACGCAGAAGAAGAAGGTGGGCGTCATCCCGCCCAAGAAGTTCATCTCACGCCTTCGCAAGGAGAACGGTGAGTGATTCGCCATGCCTGATGGATGAGTGGGGCCTTGTGGTAATGACTGGCATATGGTGGTCGAAGTGGCTCCCATTGTTTCTGTAAAGCGCTTTGGGTGTCATGAAAAGCACTGTATAAATGCAGCTTTAATTAATTCATTCATGTGTGCAGAGGGATTGTTAATTTATTCATTTATAAGGGCTATGTCTGTCTGTCTGATCAGTGCATGAGGCTCATGAGCACCTAGTCATGTCTGATGAATCCGTGTGCTTCATAGCTCAGCTGTTAAAGAGTTGTTAATTTCCGATGCTCATAGTAGCTAATGTTGCCTGGCTGTGATTCACTGCATGCAGTAATGTCCTGCTGCGTGATTTTTCTATTCTGGCTCATTCAGTTAAGACACTTAATGCCTCCCATGCTCCACCACTTTAGGTTATTTTTTTATTGCATTATGTTTACAGCAGCTGTGCAGGTGTATATCCTCACCATGTCCGGCCAGGAAGGTTTTCTCCAGCCTCCTTTACTGCCTTATACTAAAGGGTTTACGAACCCGGACTCACCTCCTGAAAGCCGCCCCTTGAGCTGCTCCGGAGTAGCGTTGCAATGCCCCAGTCCACAGCCCCCATGCAAGTGAAAAGTGGTTCTGGATATTGATCACGAGGACAGGATGTTGTGACAAATCGTTATCAATTTGGATAAAACTGGAGAAAAGATTGCATAACCTATTGAAACATTTCCATTTACAAGTAACATATATTGTTTTTCTTAAATTCTGATAATTATGCATTGATATGCATCCTTAGGATCATAATTATGACCTTTTGGATGTACAAACCTGAATAAATGGCTTCTTTCTCTTGGTCATCATGGTAATTCAAGTGATTTAGGCGTGTACAAAGACTGTCGCGTGTCACAAGTATTTGAACCTCTGTCTTAACGGCCCCGCTCTGTATCACCTACCCCCTCCCCCACAGACCTGTTTGACAACTACATGCAGCAGGACGCTCACGAGTTTCTCAACTACCTGCTGAACACGGTGGCCGACATCCTGCAGGAGGAAAAGCAGGAGAAGCAGAACGGCAGGCTGAAGAACGGCTCGGTGCCAGGTGGACAGGCGGAGGAGAGCAAGGCAGAGCCCACCTGGGTGCACGACATCTTCCAGGGCACGCTGACCAATGAGACGCGCTGCCTCAACTGCGAGACGGTGAGCTCATTAACGCGGGATTCTGGGAGCTGAGGTTTCGCTCGCAGCCCTGGGGGGGGGGGTCTCTTTCCTCTGACATGCCAGTAAATTTTGACATGGAAAACTGATATCTTGTGTCGGCAGAGGGTTTCCATATTACTACCCATTGTACCTTGTATTTGCATGGGGCTCCCAATTAGCTTCAAACAGTTACTCCACTAGGGGGTGCGAGGGGCCCTGAAGTGACTTTTAGCGTAGGGCCCCCAAACAACAAACCCACTCCTGTGACCAAGAGATAGTAGAATTCTGAGAAGGTTCATCTGAATGCTTATGAATGCTTATAAATGCTCTTTGATGATAATAATAATAATAATATTAATAATAATAATAACTAATACATTTTATTAGTAAGACACTTTACATTTGAGCCAAATCTCAAAGTGCATTATATAGAACTATATTCTGTAGAAATATAGAACTGCTGTTCTCTTCATATGGGCCGATATTTGTGCCACTAGAAACTGAATATGAATTTTGTATATTTGAATCTGCAGTTATCCGCATTACAAAACTGAATCTGAATTTAATAGTTTGAATCTGAATTCCAGTAACTTGAAATAGCATTTATCCTACCTCGAAAAATTCAGTTCGCAAATTCAATTTCAATCTAGTGTGACACACATCCGGGTTCTTGAGAAAAAGTAATCGACTGCAGATTCACAACGCAACTCATTTCCACGTTTATGGCAGTTCTGCAGGTCGGGGTAAAGAGGAGGCGTGTGCCGGGGTGTCGCAGGCGCAAATGCGGGATCATATACGTAATAAAAATTAAGAATTACCGGCACTGCTATATCTTAATCTTTATCGTACCACCACTTCTCACAAGTTGCCAGTACTCTGCTCAGAGACAAGCGTCACGCGAGAGTGGCGGGGCACAATATCTCGTCACTTAAGCATCATGATTTCTTCAACCATTCACCATTCTCCCTTGATCCACACCCCTAGATGATGTTTGTCAATCATCTCTTTTACTATTTGGTCCCTCAGCTGAATATCATGGTGGCATGACCATCTCTAGTTGTGTTTTTTAAAATATCCAGCCGTGAATTTTTGCGAATCCCTTCCTTCAGTAGCAAACCTTGCATTGGTCTTTGTCAGTCACGTGTCTGCACTGTTTAACACGCCCCCATTAGCCATTTTGAGTGTATCGCGGATGTAAACACATTTGCTTAATATTTCATATTCAGTGTTTTTTTCTCCACAAAAATGTAATGTTTTATGTAATCAGTTATAGGCCATTTTCATTACCAAAACACACTAGTAATGTAGGTGTTTAAGAAAGGAAAAGAGTCAAGAACACCACAAAAATGTCATTGCATGGACATAACTTTATTGGTCATATTTACATTCTCTATGCATTATGAAGTGCTAAATAATATTCCGTACTCACATAAAATTAATACTGATTTCTGCCTCATATTGGCAAGATGAATATTTTAAAAAAATATTTAGCATAAACACTGCTAGAAAGCCACATGAGATGAACAGGCGAGCCATAACTTAAACTAAACTAGAAGTAAAATTCATATCCCTAGCTAGTTTTGCGTTAGTCTACCATATTAACATAAACTAGCAGTGCCAGAAATCGTTCATTTAACCACATATACTGCCATATACTAACCAGACGTATGGTTAATGTTTATGTTATCGCTTGTGTATATAAAGCTTATTCTCATATGTATCATAAGGTAATGACAAACCTGCGAATCCAGCATTTGTTTTTCTGACACCCCGGCACACGCCTCCTCTTCACCCCGACCTGCAGAACTGCCGTAAAGGTGGAAATGAGTTGCGTGTGAATCTGCGGTCGATTACTTTTTCTCAAGGACCCGGACGTGTGTCACACTAGATTGAAATTGAATTTGCGAACTGAATTTTTCGAGGTAGGATAAATGCTATTTCAAGTTACTGGAATTCAGATTCAAACTATTAAATTCAGATTCAGTTTTGTAATGCGGATAACTGCAGATTCAAATATACAAAATTCATATTCAGTTTCTAGTGGCACAAATATCAGCCCATACCTTCATTCCTGAAAATTCAAGGTTCACTCTGATAACCAGTTAGAATCCTGAGGGGAATACCCAAAGATTCATTGTTTTTACCCCTGGGTGCAGTGTGTGATTTAAAGCTGTGATGTGATTTAAAGCTGTAGTCAATTACCTCTCTTTTATTACACCCTGCAGGTCAGCAGTAAAGATGAAGACTTTCTGGACCTTTCAGTAGATGTGGAGCAGAACACATCAATAACGCACTGTCTGAGGTAAGAGAACGAAGAGTGAGCTGGGGAACGCTTCAAACTTAGGTTTGAGTATGTTCGGCACTAGACTTAATGTAAATTGCAGTGACAGCCTTAGCGACATTTCTGCACCGTGATTCTTTTTAATGCATTGCAGTATGAGCATGCAGTGAACTGAAAGGGCAGTAAAAACTGTATGCAGTGGTAACTGTTTTGCAGGGACTTCAGTAACACAGAGACGCTGTGCAGTGAGTACAAGTACTACTGTGAGACATGCTGCAGCAAGCAGGAGGCGCAGAAGCGGTCAGTGTGCTGACAGACGGGAGTGTGTGTGTATGTCTGTGTGAGAGAGAGAGACTAATGCTGTAACTCTGTGTGTGTGTGTGTGTGTGTGTGAGAGAGAGAGAGAGAGAGACTGTAATTCTGTAACTGTATGTGTGTGTAATGTTATCTGTGTAATGCTTGGTGTCTCTAACACCCTCTGTGTGTAATGCGCTGTGTGTGTAACCCTGTGTCTCTGTCTGTAGCATGCTGTATATGCCACTCTGTGTCTCGGTCTGTAACACCCTGTGTGTCTGTAACGGACTCTGTTTGTTATGTGGTGTCTAATGCTTTGTCTCTGTATGTAACGTTCTGTCTGTAATACACTATTTGTAACGTGTCTATAACGCTTTGTCTCTGTCCATAATGTGCTATGTGTGTAACCCTGTGTTTCTGTAACACCCTCTGTGTGTAACATTCTGTGTGTGTGACGCTGTGTCTCTATCTGTAACGCCCTGTGTTTCTGTAACACCCTCTGTGTGTAATCCGCTGTGTGTTGGTGCAGCATGCGGGTGAAGAGGCTGCCTATGATACTAGCCCTGCACCTGAAGAGATTTAAGTACATGGAGCAGCTGCACCGCTACACCAAGCTTTCTTACCGCGTCGTCTTCCCGCTGGAGCTGCGCCTTTTCAACACGTCAGGCGACGCAGTCAACCTAGATCGCATGTACGACCTGGTGGCCGTGGTGGTGCACTGCGGCAGGTAAAGAACACACACCCATACTCACACACACACACACACACAGGTTTGTAATTATATCTATGTGGGGACTTTCTATGGGGAAAACTCTAATCCCAACATGACGACCTTAACCCCTACTCAGCCCTAACCTTAACCATAAGTAACCAAACAAAATACAAGATTTTAGGCATTTTTAGTTTTTTGATTGCATTCATAGATTTTTATAACATTGAGATTTATATTGTGGGGACCTGAGAAATGTTCCCGCAAGCTAAAAAGTAAGAGGTTTTACTTTATTGTGGGGACATTACAAACCTGCGAACACACACCCCTCCCAATAGGTCGCTGTTTACTCAGGGTCCTCTTCTCTCATCTCGCCAGCGGCCCCAACAGAGGACATTACATCACCATCGTCAAGAGCCACGGCTTCTGGCTACTGTTTGATGATGACATCGTGGAGGTAAGACTCCCACTGTGCCTGGCACACGCTGTCACTCACACACACTCGCACAGAGCTTTGGCCGTGTCTAATTCGCTGTTTTCACCCCCCATGCAGAAAATCGACGCTCAAGCCATCGAGGAGTTCTATGGCTTGACGTCTGACATCTCGAAAAACTCAGAGTCCGGCTACATCCTGTTCTACCAGTCCAGGGAGTAACGGGGGGGGGGGGTGTTTGTTTGTGTTAACAAGCTATGCTCGTCGCCACCTCTGCCCAGTCCGAGGAAGACGACGTCCAATCAAAAACCTTGACCCTCCACGATCTAGTTACCCCCCCATGGCCGGTCCGGAGGGACACTGTCAGACAGAGGCCGGTTCTCCTGTCCTTCCCCTCTCTGTGCTCAGCACGACACTGATACCACACTGTTCTCACCTGCACCCAAAGGCACTTTAACATCAGTCCAGGACTGCACAGAACCAATAAGCCAGAGCAGAACCGGTGGCCAGGTTCTTCACCGCCGAGTCGCTGTCCTGAGCACAGAGAACCAGACCGGCTATGACCAGTGGGCTCATGTTCCCATGGTTATGGTTGCTAAGCAGTTATGTCTTCTTTTATTTAGTTCAGGTTTGGATTATATTCGATTTTCTTTATTCTAATTGGTCCATGAGGTGGACCACATGACCATGGTCCTGCCAAAATATATAGTTGAAGATGAGGCCCACTTATTTCAGAGACTTCTGTGTGAAGTATATATGTGTGAACGCCAACCACGACTGCAAGCATTCCCTGACCCTGGATGTCAGACCTTATTTAATACTTTGCATTTTTAGAGGTGCTGGCTGTTTTTGGTATGGAGTGTGTACCAGTAGGGGGCACAGCAAGTCAATAGGAGGTGTTGAGGGCAAACCACTGAGAGGTGAATCGTGCAGAAATTGAGTTTGTGAGGTTTGAGGTGTCTATGAAATATCTGGCCTTCGGTCTTTTAATGGGCTTCAGGTGGAAAAGAGAGTTTGAGGTTTGATGACCTGAACACTTTGGTGCCATTGATTACTCAGCCCACCAACACTGTGGAAACCGGTGTGGGCCATCAATTTAATGGGCGGTATACATCCTTAGTGAACAGGAAGTGATTGTAGAAGCAGGATATTATTTTGGCGAAAGTGGTGGATGGAGACTTGGGGAATAGCACTTGTGGTGGGCATTGTCACGGCATTTTGATTCTGACTACCAATCAAAAGGCCGTCTTGCAATCCTGCGAGGCCACAGATTGTGCCTTGCCCTCTAGGTGAGGTCTTATGCGATTACCTGTAATTCACTTCTCCCCCTGGTGGCCAGAAGAGAAATCTGCAGGTGCCCTCGATCATAGAACATGTGGGTGATTTGCTGTTTGGCGTGGGAATTGTGATGGTTAACTGGATCATGTTTCTGGGAACAAAGCATAAGTGCTTCTTGGATGATGGTGATGAAGGGTGGATGCCAGGCTCAGGTCTTTCTGTTGCTTAGTACTGAAGGTATTATAGCTGTTAGAAGTATTGCTGCTGGGCGACGTTAGGTCACCAGTTAGCTCTCCGACTTCACCACGGAGAATTAACCACTGTCAGGATTTGATTGGACTGTCCTTACTTGCAAAAACCATGGGCTAAAAGGGATCTTTACCAATCCTTTTTCATTACCTTACACACACTTTTATCCAAAGCGATGTACAAGGGTTAAGGGTCGTGCTCAAGGGGCCCAACGGTGAAATAACTCTGCTGACACTGGGATTTGACCCAGCGACCTTCCAATCACAGGAGCAGCGTCCCAGCCTGCTGAGCCGCACTGCCTCTGGGCTGTTGGCTGGTGAGATTAGTGCTGTTTTCTTATGTTTGTTTTTGTAGAAAAACATCCCAGATGTCGGGAAGTTGGCCCCAAGGCTATTGTCTTCACCTTTCTCCCTGGTGTTTTTAATTCCAGCCGTAAGACTTCCATCGTCTTTCTTGAAAGTCTCTAAATATCCATATAGATACTCAAAGCTATAGAGAGTTTTAACTTATTCTTTGGCAGAGGGATCATGTGTTAATGATCTCTCCTGGCGCTTTTCCTTGGTGGGAGATCTGATTGGCTCACTCAGTTTCCAGCCCCGCCCTCTTGAACCCACAGACCGCACCCCATAGCCAATTATGTCTTTCCAGCAAAATGGTGTGAACAAAGGCTGTGTGGTTCACCTCCGTGCCAAAACTGAAGAGCTAACTTTAAGGTATAAAATACTACCTTGGGGGGACAAAAGAGAAGACCGGTGTGTGTACAGAAATAGCACTATATTTTTTAAAAGGACTAAACTCTGCAAGGCTGCTAGTTCTACTGCAAGGGTGTAGTTTTTCTCATTGATTACACCTTTGAAGGTCTGCAGCAGAACTATTATTGACTGCTTGTAGCTGTTGACTAATCTCTAAATAAAGTAAGTATATAAATATTTCTATTTTCGGTCATAGTAAATACTAAATGTACTTCTCCTCCTCCCTGTTCACCCTCAGTTTTGTAGCTTCAGTGATGAGGATTTCAGAGGCTCAAAGAGACACTGTTACTCCCCGTTAATATGCAGGTACACCGTCATGGGTAAAGGCCATGCCTTGTTACCCCCTTTACTCTAAGTCACTTTATCATAGCCTGAATTTCAGTCTAATGGTCTCCATCCGTATCGATAGTAATCTACCACATTAGCAATGTGTTTGGTGTCAATAGGATGGACTGTGGGATTCACCTAACAACCTTCTGGTGATCTGTTCCTTCAACTTTAGACCCACTGCACAGGCTGATTCAGACTGTGTTGTATATTAGTATTAATTGTATGACTCTCCCAGACCTATAGGAAGCATAAATTTAGCATCCTTCTCTGATAGGATAGAGCGCCACCTGAAGGTCGGAAGGGTCAGTGCGAATTAAAAAGTGCACTTTACTAAAAATGAGTAATTTGCTTTAACTGTAAGAGAATAAGATATTCTTTGCAAATGGATCATGTTATTTTTTTCCGGTCTTCAATAAAAACTTGATGAAACTCCTGTGCCCATGTGCCGTGTTATTTCTCCGTGTTCTTCTTTTGAAGCCGCTCATCACAGTTAACAGGATGTTCTTTTTTTACATTGAAACTCTTAACAAGACTGCAAGGAGGTTAGGAGCAATGACAGTTTCACAGCCACGGTAATAGGATTTGCAGGTACTGTGTGTCTCCTTGGTAATTCAAGAAATTAAATTGGGGGGGTCTTTTTTGTGTTGCATGGCTTTTCACCCCTCTCCCCCCTAGGCCTGTATCTTACCTTGCCGTAATAGTGGACGTAATGTGAGCATTGTGTCTGGATGTTTCCAGATTAGCTGGTAGCCTTAGTGAGGTGCAGGTAAGCTCACAGCAGCTACGTTATCACGTTAGGACCATGGCGTCATGGCATAAGATCAATAAGCTCCTCAGGCTAGGATCCTGGGAGTTTTATTGGGCTACTTGGCCTCCCTGGTGGACCGTGCCTGTGATTTTGAGATGATACAAGTTTGATCCCTGTTCTGTGCCATTTGTGTTGCGTATCCTTAAGAAGTTACCTCTAAGCTCTTGCCAGCGACCAGTTCTTGCAATCAAAATTTTAATCACTAAATACATGGTTTGTTAGTCTTAAATAATATACTGTATTCTCTACCATTCTGAATTGACAATAAAATAATTCTTAACAAAAAAAAAATACATGGTTTGTATGTTCTTGTATGACCCTGGAGCAAGAGGACAACATGTGAGGAAGCAAAGCTGATAATGTGGTGCGTCCAATTAGACAACACTAGCCTAGGGTTAGGAGCCGTGAGTAGACAGTCTGACTCAACTTGCGACATCACTTCCTGTCCAAGTTGGCGACCAGTCTGTGCTACAGCCCCTTGATTGGTTGACAGGTGTTCCTCGGTGTCATGGCATCAACAAACATTCTTGTCTTTTTTGAATCCCAAGTACCAGAGGTGAGGTTCTAGAAACAGAAGGTAGCATTTTTTATTTAGAGCTATACTTTTCTGTTAATGTTTTTTTATTGTCTAGCATATGTAAGGTGTATAAATGACATTAAAATGTGCAATGTGGAGGTATAAAGCATGTCATGCGGAGATGTGACAGGTATATTTACTGGTCATGTTTGCATTAGTGACAGCTTGATGATCCGGCTGAGATTTGTGATGTTTGTTATAAAATCACTTCAGCCAAAGTGCCGATTCAGCTGAATCGCACCGACAGCCCAATCTAATCCCGCTGCTCCTCTCTGGTTTATGTGCTGCTTTAGAGTCTAGTGTCTTAAACTGTATTTCACGCTTTTATATTGCATGTCCTTTACTGGTCCAGGAGAAGTTTGTCTGCCTCAACACACCTGTACACACCACAGTCAGTCTACTACTCCAGGCAAACTCCTGCAGACAACCAGGTCAACCAGGCTGTGACTTCTGAAGGTGTATTTATGTCTGTGATTTTGTGTGTGTCTGTGTGCTTCTGTATATTTCTGTATATCTGTTGCTGTCAATGTCTAGCTCATATAACGGCTGTATTTGGAGGCAGATTTGATTACAGTGTAAAAGTTCACCTTTAAGGGGCGGCCTGGTGAGACAGTGGTTAGCACTGTCACCTCACACCTTTGGAACTTGGGTTTGAGTCTCCGCCAGAGTTCCTTGTGTGTGGAGTTTGCATGTTGTCATCGTGGGGATTCCTCTGGGTACTCTGGTTTCCCCCCACAGTCCAAAAACATGCTGAGTCTAACTGGGGGTTGCCAATTTTTTTTTACAGAATTGCGTTTTACATGTGGTTAGTACTTTGTAGCTGCTGGTCTCAGGGTTGCCAACTTTGATTAGCTGGCTGGAGTGAGGTTTTCAGTTTGAGACAAGTCTGCACACTCCTTTACATGTAGGAGTTAATCTGTTCTCATTGACTGAATTATGCCTGAACGTGATTATTCTGTTATGATAATTGCCTGTAAGTTGTTTCAGAGAAAAGTGTCTGGCAGCAAAGTAAACTAGTTATAAATACAATAAACTTAACATTAGATTAAAATGCTGATTTTCCTTTCTGCAAGCTTGCCAACTTTGTTCGGCTGGCTGGCGAGAGGTTTTCAATTCGAGTTTGCACCGTCTTTTACATGCTTGTAACAATTTTATTACTTTGAAAATAGTCAGTATGGTTTGCAAACTACCCCAACGCTTTTTATGTAGCTAGTTTTAGGTTTATAATGGAATAATATAGATTTGCCATAAGATTCCTTGCATGAGTGTGAGAGTCTGAAAGCATGAATGTCACGCCAGATGCGTGACAGTTGACAACCCTGTGGTCTGCAATTGTTTATTTGAGCAGTCTTTTGAGAGCAAAGACAGGCTGTGCACCCTTGTCCTACTCTGGTCCCTAAAGTGAGGCCAGTCTCCACTTGTCACATGGCTCTGTGGGGATATCTTTCTGTTAGCATTAGCTGTAATGCTAGCTAAGACCTGTTTCTGGTCCGGAAGGAAGACTCTTTAGGGATGACTGTCCCATTCCTGACCCCTGGGGTAACCCCCCCCCCAGCCTCCCCCACTTGGAGAGTGCAATTTAATTGTGAGCCAAACTGCACTTCTGGGCAAAGTGATCATTCAAGGAGCAGGAGGTATGGATGAAGCCATTAGCAACATTCATCACCTTGTATTAAACTGTGCTTGTATCTACTGGTGTGTGGGAGCCACTGACAAATTCCAGGTGTGTGTGTGAACTTACCAAGCCAATATTCATGATTCTGCTATAACCCATCTATCCATCCATCCATCCACCCATCCATCCATCCATCCATCCATCCATTTATCCTTCCACACTTGCATCCATGTTTTTACCCAATGCAGGTTTGCAGTGTTTCTGCACACAGCCAAAGACACAGATTTGTTTTTGCTTTACCTCTCCAGGTGTACCAGATGTTCAATGAGACAGTGGCAGTGGCTTTGGAGGACGATCCAAGGGACTACATTACCCAGTATACCTGAGTGGTGTGTGTGTGTGTGTGTGCGTGCGTGTGTGTGTGCGTGTGTGTGTGTGTGTGTGTGTGTGTGTGACATCATCCGGCGATGAATGCACAGTGTTACAGCAGTAAATGGTTCATCCATTTAGCCTCTGGCAGATCGTCAGCTTGTGGCTGCAGGAGAATGATTGTCCTGAACTTGTACAGCAGACTGTGAACAAAGAGTTTTTGATGGCGGAAGGCTCTGAAACGGAGCGGCTCTTTCTGTACTGCCGGGGAAATGGCCCTCTTTATTGTGTTATTACCTCGGTAAATCACACTAGCTGTAATTAAGGTGGCTTTCTTCTCAGTAATGCTCCCTCAGGACATGATGTAGCGTTTCATTCTGTAGCTTGATGTTGCTCAGGACATGCTGGAGTTTGTGTGAGCGCACGTCGGTGCCCACACACACACACACACACACACTGTGCATCTGCAGTCTATGTGTCTGTGTGTAAGACTTCTGTGTGTCAGAGAATGAAGTGTGTATGCGTGGATGGGGTACATATGTCCGTGCACAATGTGTTTGTCTACAGATGTCCAAAGAAATCCTTAGAAAGACCAAAAAAGCCTCAAAACAGATGGTGTCATGATGTTCCCATCAACACATGTCCCATTTAGCTGTTTTTCAGGTTTATTCTGCTTGTGGGGACTTTTTTCCCCTAAAACCAAGGGTATGACTGTTCCATCTGGCCCTCTCTGGAGCCTGGAAATGGGTTTATGACACTGCTGAGCCTGTACATCCTATCAGCAGCGATATGCTACCGAAAGACAGGTCACAGATGTATCCAGGGTGCTCGCGCAGACTTGTGAGATGTTGGGTAACCATGAAATATTTTGGAGAAAATCACCTCAGCTGAACTGTGAAAATAGACTGATGTTCTTTAGCAAAGCGGGGGTAGTGTGATTTTCCCTGACAACGCATCGACCAGGAAACAGCACCACCTGGTGGACAAATTAGAAATGGGGCAGCAGATTGAGCCCTACAGCTGATTCTGGAACAAGTCATCCTGGAGGTGAGTAAAGATCAGTGTGGAGAATGTATTTTATATGTGTGAGGAAAAAAGATGCATGTGCATGGATAACGAGTGTGTGTGTGTGTGTGTGTGTGTGTGTGTGTGTGTGGGGCCATGTATATATTACATTGTGGGGGTCAAATTGACACAAGGGGAAACTCAATTTAATAAAAATCTGTGAATGCAATCAAATAACTATAAATGCCAAAAGTCCTGTATTTTGTTTGGTTACTTATGTTTAAGGTTATGGGTCACTGGGTTCAAATCCAAAGGTTGGCTGAGTGATGTCACCATTGGGCCCCTGAGCAGGGCCCTCAGCCCCAGCTGCTCTAGGGTCTGAATGACCCCACTTTCTCAAAAGTGCTTTTGGATTAAAACATCTGCTTGATGTAACGTATATATGTAACATTTGTGCCCGCAGTGAGTGTCTATTGAGTGCCTGTGGTCCTGCAGTGATGGGCTCACCTGCTGCTAATTGCTCCTGCTTCTCAGACCACTCAGAAGTGTGCAGAGAGCATTACCTCACCCTGCACAGTGCTGGCCTCATTTACAGGGCCCTGTCCTTCAGCCTCGTCCTCAACTCAGTGCAGATAAAGTGTCTCATTTGGCCACTATGACAGGGCTGCCAAGCTGCAACCCAACCACTAAGTTTTCAAATGTATTTGCCCAGTGAGCTTCTCCTCAAGCCTTGAATCCGAAAAACCCAGCTGAGGGGGGAATAAGAGGGGCAATAATTCTTATATTGGGCCCAACCTCATCATTAGCCAATCACATGTTTTGAGTCAGTGAGTGACGGGAGGGCAGCCAGTCGCTTTCAGCTGGGGCCAGTGTTCCTGTAGCCCCGTCCCTGTACACGCCCCTGCCTAATGTATTCCGAGTCACCTTTCTCTCTCTGTGGCAAATTGTAATTGTTACAATAAACAATCACTTCTTTATTCCAACTTTGTGTGTTTTTGTTACGATGTCATTTTGTGTATTTGTGTAGTCCTTGTTTGTTTTTTTATGTGTCTTGTGTACTCT